GGAGACTTAAGGCGCCCTAAGGTGAGGTTTCGTTGCCTCGGCTTGAAAGTGAGGCTGGCGTTGTGCGCCAAGTCCCAATACGAACCCATTGGTTTCGAGTTGGTTGCTTCGGGCCCCACTAAGGCCAGTTGGGCACACTTGCCTGCGCACCAGGCAGGCACGGCGTTGATTATTTAGTGCCAATGCCGTTTGCACATTTACCTCTCGTGGTAACAGCCAGGGTTTGTATCCAACTGCAGCGGGGGCTGCATGTCAGTGATCACCGATGCTCTTGCAACCCCGACCCCTTCAGTAGTTTTTAGTTCAGCGGCGCCTACTGGGCCCCAGCGGGCCCACAGGGCTCCAAGGGGCCGCGCGGGGCTCTAGAGGCGCACCTGGCCCCATGAGAAAAGCAGTTGTTATATACTTTCGTCTGGTCTCTTGAGCTCTGTTGGGGCCTCGTGAACTCGGTGCGTCTAGAATTGGCATCTCCATCGAGGCCCCGCGGGGCACCCGTGCGATTCCTTGTGGCGGCACTGGGATGTCCAGGAGCTTCCATCGGGGACCAACCGAACCCGTTGGCTCGCATTCTCCTCCGCAGGGCCCCCTTGGTCTACAACGTTTTCCCCTCAGCCCCACTGTAGCCCACTTGCGCCCAATGGCTTTTCTCGGGGTCCGCCTGTCCCCCCCTGCCTCCATCGGCTCTTACAGGGGCACATTGGGCTCGACATTGCCTCCTTAGGCGTCACTAAGGTTGCCTTGGGTTGCATTGTGCTCCAATAGGTTTGGGTGGACCTGGTAGATGCTCTATTCACAGTGGGCGCTTCCAGGCACGATCAGGTTCAAGCCAGCCCCATTGGGGGCTATGTGGCTCCAATCTGCCACCCAGTGCGTTCGTGTCTCCCCAATGAACCAACGGTCTTTGCGGTCGGGGCGTTTCTAGTTCCATAGGGTTGCCTCGTGCTAGCAGTGCAGCTGCGGTTTCGGCGCAATTATGGAATCAGCTGTGCAATCGTTCCGTGGGCAACCCCTTGGGACCCGCGCGGCAAATGGAGCGAATTCAACGTGAAGTTGTGTCCCCGAGTTTGTTAGAATCGTGCCCCGATTGCTTCTTGCCAGCATGGGCGGGATGGCAACCTTGAAGGTTGGCTTTGGGCCCCATCCGTTTTTCGGTCGGGCACATCGGCTCGTTGAATTCCTGCCACGGTAGGGCATTGCTTTTGCATTTGGGAGTTGCGCGGGTATGATCCGCCCCGTCTTTGGGTGGAGGTGTGGTGTTGTGGTAAGTCGGTGGGGGGGGCGCGGTGATGGGACCCCTCGTAAAGTTAACCCCTCGAGGATTACGTTCAGAAGCTCAAGGCGGCCATCGGGAAGACGCACAAGTCTCCTCTTACACTCATCGCGTCCGCAGTGGACGCCAGCACGTACTGGACAGGTAGGCTGAACGAGTACATCGAGAAGTTACCAGCGATGCTGCAGCACAGGAATGCCATCCAACATGCTGAAGGCGTTATCAGGGCGCACAATCCGTCAGAGTGTGAGTTGGACAAGCTCATGGGTACACTGGAAAGTCTGGTTGGCGTGAAAGAGGCCATCCGCACGGGGGGGATCGACGCGCTGCTGACTACCATCGCCCGTTCGATCAAGGAGACGCGTGTGTATGTCATGAGGTTGCCGCAGGAGGAGATGGAGATTACGTCGAAATGGTCTAGGGTCGTCGGGGAGGCCAGCCTGTTATTCTCTATGGATTTGTGGGCCGATGAGTTCAGGACTGAAGCTGCCGACAAACTTGCCTCGTCCAGCATGTCCGCGAAGGTTTCCTCCTTGGTCTCTGGATGCACTGCTCTCAGGAACAACATGAGGAACATCACCACGCACGACGCCCGTGCGCCCATCATACAGACAGCCATCGCCAACCTGAAGGACATCGCTGGTACTACTCCGATCCCTGGGGAGTATTTCGCGATCGAGGGCTTGAGCATCATCAACGGGCAATGTGAGGTATGCGCCACCGTTGCCGCCCACCTTGTGAAGACGTCGGTGCCAGCTCCCTCAGACTCTAGCCTCAAGACGGCCTCGGATTTCGCGGCGGGCGTGGTCTCGATTGCCACCGTTGCGAACTCGAAGACGCTGCAGAAGATGGCGAAAGTCATCCAGGCTGGCTGCGCCCTTCAGCTGAGCTGCTTTTCCTTCTGCGGTGATCATGCAGATATGGACGCGATGAGCAACGACGAGAAGTCGATGAAGGTGCTGCCCGACATGATGCAGGCGCTCGTGGAGATGCAGGAGTCCCTGGCCGCCCTCGGACAAAGCGAGGCCGAGTTCTACGCGACGATGAGCAATTTCAGTGCAGATGCGAAGGAGTTTATCGGCCAGGTCACGGCGAAGGGCGCAAAGAAGGCCACGACGAACCTGGTTGCCATCAACGAGCGCATGGCGACGCTCGGCAGGGGGCTTCCTGCTGAGCTGTGCGACGAGCTCGAGGGCGATTGGTACTCGACCTTCACGGGGAAGACGTTCAAGGAGCTGCTCGTGCACGCCGAGGGGACGCTCCTCAAGTGCGACACCAAGGCGACTATTGCGGTGCTCGGCGAGGCGGCTCAGGCACGTAGTGAACTCAATCATTGTACATGCACGCACTTTGGCATTGAAAGCTCAGTTGACCGATTTCTGTCGGGACCTCGGGAACTAGGGATGGTGGGGGCTAAACGAGGGCCTCAGAGCCAAACCATTTTTTTTGAGGAGTGGGTTTGTTTGGGGACGGGTTCTGGTTAAACAGTTTTCGTGTATTGAATGTCCGTTGCTTGAGTTCACTTGCGTCTAGTGTCGCCCGAGAGGCGCTCAAGAAGTACAAGCATGCCCTCGGCCAGGCGGTGCGGCCCGTCGATGACGGGCTGGTGGCGGACACCGCGAAGCGGATGGGGCAGTGTAAGTCGGTGAAGGCCTTGGGGTGCCTCTTGAACAAGTTCAGGGGCCAGTGCGGCCTCGAGGAGTTGAGGAGTTTCGTGCAGGCGGAGATTCGGGAGCTCCGCCAGAACAGCGGGCTCAAAGGGAAGGATTGCTTCCCGCCGCTGGTGATGCAGCGGGTGGTGCTGGCGCTGCAGCTCAAGGCGGAGGAGGCGCTGAGCTGAGTGCTCAGCTTTCATGTGGGGGCCTGGACATAGGTCCAGGCCCGATTCAACAGACGTTGAATAGAGAATGAGAACATATGTAAAACAAAAAACAAACAAAGAGTGCGACTAAACACAGCGGGTCATCACATTCACGCACATGGGTGTACGCAGAACGAACTTAAGCAACACAGCGTCGGCACACATCCACTTATGCACGCATCATCAAGTAAAGCCCTCCGTGTGTTAGGTGCGATCAAAACTATGGCGACATGTGGGCCACGCGGCCAGTAAGAGGCCCACTAGTGTTACTCTTGCCTGCCCCCCCAACACTCCAGAGATCAACCGAGGTTTCTTCTTGGGAGGGTTACGCGCCTACGTGGACAGCGTGCTTACTGGGGTGCTTATTTTATGCATACTTTACGTCATCACTGCCAAAGTTACTTTTGACTTACTTTATGGCTATACTAATGTTTCTGGGTTTTGAGGGCTGTGGTAGCCCCCCCTGATCACAACTCTGGGGGAACCCCTGTCGGGCTCTGGGACCGTTCAAACGCGGCTCGCGGGATCAAAAGCCGGTACCGTGTGAAGGGTCAACAGACCTCTGACTCCAGATCCGCCGTGCTTCTTGGGCCGTTTCGCTATGACGGGAATTCCCGCTCTACTTTTCAAGCTTCTCTGATGCCGATTTCCACCCCACTTTGCCGTCGCTGTTTCCGCAGTACCACTGCAGAAATATCAACCTTACTCTTCCGAGACAGAAATTTACGACTTATTTCTTCGCATCCCTTTGGGTGCATTTCCGACACACGTTTAGGCCAGAGAATCAGCCAAAGTACAATGGATCCGAAATCAGGGCAGACCTCGGGGGTCCACGGTGCGATAGAATCACGACGTCGGGGGTCCAGACTTCTCCATGATTTCGGAGCTCGCGTACTTTGGTTGGCCTTCCGACTTGAACATGTGTCGGACATGCACCCCAGGTGGTGCGAACAAATAGGGCAAAAATCTCCACCTCAGAAGGGTAGAGGCGGCTATTTCCGCAGAGGCATGAAGCATGGCGGAGACATCGACGGCACAGCAGGGCGGAAACCGACACCAGAGGAGCTTGTAACATGGAGCGGGGGCTGCTACCCAGCTTGCGAAATCACCCGCAGCACGGCGGACCCGGAGTCAGTGGGGGAACCACGGGATACCGATACAGCTGCACCCTGGGCCTCTCACGGGGTGCCTTCTGACCGAAAACTCGAGGCGAAGCCCGCCGTGGCGACGAGGGCCTCCCCGGAGGCCCCCCAAGAGGGGGAGAACGAGGCACGAGTGGCGGCACGGGTGCCTTGTCCTCCTCTGAGTCAGGGCAGGGGCCGAAGACTGCGAAACGCCTCCCTTCTGGTTTTGCTCGATGCGTTGGAAGGCCACGTCTCTCGCCCGACCTGGCGGCTTTCATGTCATAGCTTGGGCCCCCGGCGGCCGATGGGGACGGCCTGGGCCCCCCCATGGGGGAGGCTCTCGACGAGGCGCAGCTGCTGGAGAGCACCCCGTGGCGGAGCAACCTCCACGGGCCAAGGAAAACTCCCGAAAACTGGCTCTCAGCCCCTCCTCTCCCTGAGGGCTTGGCGACTTCTCGCCAATCGTCTTGTAGGGATCGAGCTGGATTAATCCAGGTAGGTGCTGATTAATCGAAATAAACCCAGGTAGGTCCAGATAAATCGAAAAACATCCGGGTCAATCCAAGTAAATCCAGGGATCTCCAGGAAAAGTTGGAGCAACTCGCGGCCGCTCCAGCCAGCGCGAGGGCAGAACTCGATCAGCCTTTAACGATCTTCGCCCCCCCCCCCCCCCCCCCCCCCACCCCCCCCCCACTCTGGATGCGTTGCTAAGAAATCACGACGTCGGGGGTCTGGGGGCGCAGGCCTCCCACGCGGTCACGCCGAGCGGATCCTGTGCCTCCGTCGGCTCGGAGCAGACCCACCCGGAGGACGCCTCTGCGTCCTTGTCCGCCGTGTCGGTGACCCACCACCTGTCGCGGGCGTTCCAAAGGGGGGCGTCCAAGGGTGGGCCCTGACGTTGCGAAAATATTCGCTCTACCGTTCGGAGGTGGAGATCCCAGCACTATGTATTCGCACCGTCTGGGGTGCATTGACGAGACACGTTCTTGTTTGAAAATGAGCCAAGCTACCGCGGATCCGAATTCATGCAGGGGCCTGGACCCTGGACATCGTGAATTAATCGCAACGTGGACCCTCAGAGGTCTGCCCTGGCTTCGGATCCGCCATGCTTTGGCTAATTTTTTGTCGGGGGCGCACCCCAAACGGTGCGAAAACGCGGGGCAAATATCTCCGCCTCAGGGAATGAAGGAGCGCACGGCGGAAACAGCGACGGCAAAGCAGTGAGGCGGAAATCGACATCAGAGGAGCTTGAACAGTAGAGCGGGAATTCCCGCGCCACTTGACGAATCGCACAAAGCACGGCGGATCCGAAGTCAGGAGGAGGTCGCAAATCATGGCCCGAGCGAGGCACGTGCACGGATCAGGGGGGGGGGGAGAGAGGGCAAGGTCCCCGATCTCCGACGACCTGATGAATGTCCAATCCTACCGTTTTTCGTCGATTTCGCCCTCCAGGGCCCGTCGTCGGGCCCCGCCCTGACTTCGGATCCGCAATATTTTCGGCGATTTCGCGGGTGGGAGGGGAATTTCCGCCTTACCTTGCAAACTCCTTCGATGTCGGTTTCCGCCCTACTTTGGCGTCGCTGCTTCCGCCGCGGCTTCTGCCACACCTTTGCGGAAATATCCGCCTCTCTTTTCTGAGGCAAAAATTGCCGCCCTACTTGTTCGCACACTTTGGGGTGCATTTCCGACTCAAATGGGGACAGGAAGATCAACCGAAGTACGGCGGAACCGGAGTCAGGGCAGGGGGGGCAAAATCCCAGAACTACGACGATACATAATTCTGTTCAATCCTGCCGTTTTTCTTCTAATTCGGTCTCCAGGGCCCGTCATCGTGCCCTGGATCTGGGAAGAAAAACTGGCCCGGGGGAAGGGGTCGGGACCTCTGGGGCCGCGCATTGGAAAATCGGAGCGGCGGATGTCGGGGGTACGCCTTGAGATCAGATGAGGTGGAAATGACATCGGGCCGATATCATGGCTGCGGCCATGACTCTTTTTACGCCGGCGGCGAGGCAGAGGTATACTGCACCAGCGGTAAGCGATTCGGGGCAAACCGAAGAGCGAACTGGCCAGCATGCAGGAGGGAAAGAGGCAGACAGAGCGGCCGCAGAGGGGGGGAAGCATCGGACACTCAAATGTTGAAGAGTTCCGTCCCGAGCGCGCTGGCGCGGCCAGCAGCGGCCATGATATCCACACGCACCCTAGTCCTTCCTCCCCTCTTCGACGTCTGCACGCATCTGCTGGAGAGCGCCCCGAGGCTGGAAAACCGCGGAGAACCATCGAAAACGATTGCGAAAACCTCGAACCTCCCCCCTGAGCCTCGGGTCAGGAACTTGTGCACCGCGTGTCACGGCGGCGGCCCTGGCGACAAGCTATGCCTTGCGAGCGGATAGCGTGTCGCTCCGCTCTGCCGGCCGGGAGGTCGGGCAAGGCTCGGGACATTTGGCGCCTGGGGAATGGGACGTGGACAGCGTGTCGCGCCGAAGCTTGGTGAGCCAGAACCGGCGGTGCGACACGCTAGGCCAAAATTTCTGACCGTATCCCCCCTAACGTTGCTCTACTATTCGCCCCCCGCTGCGCAACGCCCGACATCGGCTACACGTAATAGTGATCTAGGTCAAGAATGACCTTTGGTGCGCGGTTTCCTGGCCGTTGCGTACACTGCGACGGTAGCGGCCCGTGCTTGGGCTTGACCCCGCAGAGCCCCCCGAAAGCTGCGAACCGAGGGCCGGTCGCTCTTACGTGCAGCTGACGACCAGGAGTGGGGCTCACGGGTCGGGGATTTACTAACCTGGATCAAGCCAAACCCGGGTCAGTCAGGCTGCGCAAAATCATGCAAGATCCTGCAGGATCCTGCGCCCTAGCCTGGATCAGTGCTCCCCTGGCCTTGCAGGATCCTGCGAGATTTGGCGCCCTGTCTGACCCTCGTTTGAATCGACCCCCGTCCCCAGACCCCCGACCTCATGACTTTTTCGTAACGTCGACCCCCAAAGGTCTCGACCCATCTCCTGGGGACCGGTCTTTCGTCCAGAGTCGCTGTTGGCGGCCCCGAGGGCATGTAGGGGCCTCCCGAAGCAGAAGATGTAAGAAAACCGCCTCCGCCAGACGTTTTTCCTCGCCATCGCTCGGACGTCCATTCCCTGTGTTTTTTTCGGTTTCGTGCGCGGTTTCTTTCGCCAAATGATCGAGGATGCTCCTCGATGGTCCTCGCCGAAAGAAAAATGCACACGTCCGAGCGATGCCAAGTTTCCTCATCCGCGAGGGGTCTGGGCCTCCTGAGCCCCGGCGACGGTAGGCCAGCGGGGCTCCCAGGCCCCTCCGGGGCGCCCCCATCGGCACCTGCCCTTGATGTGCAGCAGCCACACGTCCGCGTCGCCCCGCTTCTGCCAGTGCCGCCTCCCGCCGTACAGGCCCACCGCCTCCTCGAACTCGCCGTTCGCGTTCTTCTCCGCCTCCGGAGCCGTAAGCCCAGACCCCGTCGAGCTGTTTCATTACCCGAAAGGGGTCTTGGGAGGCCTTCTCGTCCTCTAGGAGGAGGAGGGGGAGGGGGAGGAGGAGGAGGAGGAGGAGGAGGAGGAGGAGGAGGAGGAGGAGGAGGAGGAGGAGGAGGAGGAGGGAGGAGGGAGAGGAGGAGGAGGAGGAGGAGGAGGAGGAGGGGGAGGAGGAGGAGGAGGAGGAGGAGGAGGAGGAGGAGGGAGGAGGAGGAGGAGGAGGAGGAGGAGGAGGAGGAGGAGGAGCGACGATAGCTTGAACGAGAAAAGACGAGGGCAAGCGGACAAGAAGCGAGACGAGGGCAGATGATGATCCCGCTCACTCCCACCCACTGCAACGCCTAAAACTCTGCTCAACTGTAATATGTGGCTGCGCTGACCGCAGCATTCGGGCGCACTTTGATGTCAACATCTGGGAGAGCGGGAAAAAACAGGGATGGCTGGCAGGAGCGACCACGACGGGGAAGAGCGGGGTGGAGTGAGCCAGACGGTGGGCTCAGGGCTACATTGGCGGGTGGCCTCAGGGGCCTCATGCGCAGCGGTAGCCGAACTAGGCGGCGGAACGGCGCGTGCATCAGCATGCAGAGCTTCTTCGGGATGTGCAGGATGTGCAGGATGGGCTGCGTCAGCCAAACCGCAGAACGGGATCTTCAGGACGGAGACGTTCGCCATCAGCGGCAGCGTGATGCGGGAGTCGTACAGCGGGAGGAGGTTGTGCGCCACCAGCGGCGGCATCAAGCAAGACGTGGTTGTCGGGATGAGCATGGGTGGCAGGTCAGCCAATCCATCTCAGTGTCGGCGTTCGTCGTCCCAGCAGAAACCCACCCGTGGTCGGCGGCCCCATGTAGTTAGACGTCGCGAGCTGCATGGTGGGCTGCGGACGCCACTCCAGGCAGCGGAACAGCACGAGCATCGACATGAGGCGCGACAGCACGGCGCACAAGTTCATCGCCCAGAGCAGCGAAAGCCAGACTGCAGCATCTGAGTTTTAGCAGATAGGAGCGACGGAGGTGCGGCGCCCCAGGGACAGCCCAGGCATCGGAACCGCCATCGAGCACTCGCCGAGGGCCAGCAGGAACACCACTATCCACACCAGCGGCAGCATCTTGGACGCCGTCGTGCGCACGTTCACTAGGAAGGGCATCAGGATATACTTCGAGAGCAGGATGTGCACCACACGCGGCAGCGCCGACGTGCACTTGTACGCCTCCCCGCGGCAGCACCATCTTGTTCAGCATCAGGGTGTACTTCGAGAGCAAGCTGTTCGCCACACGCGGCAGCGTCGTCGTGCGCTTGTTCGCCACCAGCGGCAGCATCATTATGTTCAGCGTGACGCTCGTCGGGCTGGCTGCTCTCCGAAGACGAGGAGGACCCGAACACGAGGTCGAACCACGCGTCGAAGCAACGGATGAAGGGCCTGTTCTGGAATAGCGTCTCACGCCGTGCGACCCGATGCCATTCGCGGACAAGGGCACGGAGAGCAGCGAGAGCATCGCCGGCAACACGAAGACGGGCACCACCAGCAGCTGCGGCATGCAAGACACGTTCAGCACGAAGACGGGCGCCACCAGCGGCGGCAGCATGCGGGGAAGGGTCAGGAGCGCCTGTGGCAAGCCGAGGAAGACGCCCAGCGGCATGCTGCTGAGCGGGTTGCGGACGTGGGCCATCGCCCGGTGCATCGCCAGCGCCACGTGGACGGGAGCCACCGGCGGCAGCGGCATGCAGGAGAAGATCAGGAGCGCCAGCGACAAGCCGAGGAAGAGGCCCGGCACCATGAAGCAGAGCTTAAGCAGAGCCGGTGGTGGACGTGGGCCATCGCCGTGGGCAGGAAGCGCTCCAGCGCCGAGCCGCGGGACCTCTGGCTCAGTGTCGCGACGGGGAAGGCGACCATGGGCCATGCCAGCACGAGCATGCTCATCACGGGCTGGTGCAGCGTCGGCATCTGCATGGCGGTGAGGCGGAACTTCAGGACCAGGGGCAACGTCAGGAGGTCGCCCGCGGACCAGCTGCAGGGAGTTCGCGACCAGCGGCAGCTCGTTGCCCATGCAGATGCCCAGCGGAGTGATCACCTGCAAGGCGGCTGGAAGCGCAGCAGCTTGTGGAAGAAGCACGCGTAGTTGAAGTGTCTGGCGCTTGGCCAGCTCGTGCTGGGCCGCGACCGCCCTGCAGCGCTTGGCAAGCATGGCGATGCAGAGCGCCAGCGCTCCTGCGGTGCGGCATGACGAACAGCGTCAGCAGCAGCGGCGGCAGACGCCAT